TGCAATATGCTTTTTGATTGAAATAAAGCTCTGTTGCAGAATCAAGTTTCATCATTTACTACCACTGTTAAGTACTTGAAATAGCTGTATTAAGAATTAATGTATTTTATTTAAATCTGTTTTAGTTTAATATTTTTAAATTATAAAATTAGATATAACTTCTGGGAGAGATAAGAGAAAGTCACACTAATTAACAATATGGCACCCTCAGGCACAATGAAGACATTGTAGATTTTGAAATGGTATTTTTAACCAACAGAGACAAACAACTGTCATCAGTAACTATAGGATTTAATTTGCAAATAGTTCAAGTTGTCTCTCTGACAGTTGTCAGTGCCTGAACATAGTCAATCCATGTGTCATTTTTTTCTCTCCTTCTCTGGCATGAAGAAGGGTGTGAGATGGCATGTCCTAGGTGTCTCTCACTAAAAATTCCATTCCTCACTCTGAAATTGTTTATAGACATTTCATTCTTCCGTGATTTCTTTGTGGATGCCTATGATGTGAGAACAAAAGAGTTTATATTTCTACCTGTAGTGAATATATTTCTTATAACAACATTTGTTTTAGACATCCTGGAGTTCATCCAACATTCCCATATTCATTCATTCATTCATTCATTCATTCATTTTTATTAAATCATTGTTAGCATCTCCTATTATAAGACAGACTATTACACATGGATAATGCAAAATTAAATAATACATGCTCCATACTCTCAAGACAATGACTGTTTAGAAGAGGAATATTATATTTATAACCTTCAATATTCAAGATTTTATCAGCTCTTGAATATAACATAAGGCCAGCAAAATCAATGCAATATGTTATTACCTCATTCCTGTTTAATTATTTACCACTTTTACAGTTCTTCCATTTTCTAGTATCTCAGGAACATTCAAGAGAGAGTCTATTTGTGCAGCCAAGCCAGTTCTGGTCAATACTTGTACTCTTGCCACCATTCTATTATAAATTATAAATCCCAGTACTCAGACTACTTCAGAGCTGATAATTTTCTCTAAACTATGGTTACAATACTCCTTTTGGTCTACTGTCTGAACCGCTGCTCCTTACATTGAGTTGAATACTCACTAATGTTACTCAAGCTAATGCCCCTATCTTTCATAGGTCTGCTAGTCTTGCACCAGAATTATGTAGAAAGATATCCTCGCCCAACTTCCTTCAAGGTTATACTAATAGTAGATATGATAGCATAATTGCTTAGGTTCAGAGATTTGGGGCTTTAAAAATTTTTAAAAACTAATTTATTCCAAGGTGTACACACACTAAATGTCAGAATTGTAGTAAGTTTGAGTGAAAGCCATAATTCTCTTTTTGGAAGGTTTAGGTAAAATGTCTCAACTGTGTCCAGAACAACTACTCACCTTTGGAAATCAGAGTCTATTTTTGACTCATGCGAGATGCTATCACTTAGGGTCAGTTTTCTTTCTGAAATTGGCCTACTGTGACTGCATTCATCTCAATTCATATTCAATTTAATATGCCCATATATGTCTGAACATCTAGATATGGTTTATTCATTATTACAAATGTAAATAAAAGCATTAATATGTAATTTAACTTCATATACATAACATATTCATACCTCACTTCAGCTAATCAATGAGAACTTCTATAAATATAAACACACTAGAGGCCCAGTGCATGAAATTCATGCATGAAGGAGGGTTCCTTAGCCCAGCCTGCACCCTCTCTAATCTGGGATCCTTTGGAGGATGTCTGACTGTCACTTTAGGCCTGATCCCTAAGGTATATTATATTTATATATTATATTTATAACCTTAAATACCCAAGATTTCATCAGCTATTGAATACAAAGTAAGGCCAGCAAAATTAATGCAATATGTTATCTTATTACCTCATTCCTGTTTAATTATTTACCATTCTTACATTTCTTCCCCACAGGGATTAGGCCTAAAGTTGGAGTCATTTATCTCACAATCTGGGACAACTAGCTCCTAACCACTGGCCTGTCTGCCTGTCTGATTGACTCTAACCCCTCTGCCTGCCTGCTTGCCTGATCACCCCTAACTCATCTACCTTCTGGCCTGATCACCTCTACCTTGTCTCCCAACCTGCCTGATCGCCCATAACCTCTATGCCTGCCTGCCTGATCTCCCCTAACTGCCTCTGCCTGCCTGCCTGATTGCCCCTAACTGCCCTCCCCTGCCAGCCTGATCTCTCCCTTAATGGCTCTCCCCTGCTGGCCTGATTGCCCCTAACTACCTCTGCCTGGCTGATTTCCCCTAACTGCCCTCCCCTGCAGGCCTGATCTTCCCCCAACTGTCCTCCCTTGCTGGCCTTGTTGCCCCCAACTGCCCTCCCTTGCGAGCCTAATCTCCCCCAATTGCTCTCTCCTGCAAGCCTAATCACCCCTAAATGGTTCTGCCTTAGCCCCCACCATCATGGCTTTATCTGGAAGGAAGTCAGACATCTGAAAGATTGCCAGTAGACCCAGTATAATAAGCAGATTACCCTTTTATTATTATAGATAGATTATATAGGATAGAATTGCTTACAATGAAGGGGGGGGGGCTTTTTCAGCAGGAGGAGGTGCTCTTGGCAGACAAAAACACATAATCCCTATATCTGGCCTGAGAGCCAGCTATATGTACTATATTGCCAAACCAGTCATTAAAAATTTTAATCACTTTCTTACACCTTACTCCAAACAGCATTTGCCCTGAAACCCCTCCTCAACCCCCACCTTAGGTTTAGCCTTCGCAGTTCAGTCAGAATAGGTTTTGATTGGTCAGTTTCTATGCCAGTTAGCATCAAACGCTCTGCTTCCTAGGCAGCCATTGGCTCTTCATAGTTTACTCAGATTTGGTTCTAATTGGTCAGTTTCTATGCTAGTCAGTGTTAAAAGCTCTGCCTCCTAGACAGCCATTGGCTCCTCACAATTCACCCAGGATTGGTTCTGATTGGTTGTTTTCTATGCCAGTCAGCATCTTCGGGCCTATCTCTGGGCCAGATAATAGAGGTGGGACTCATCGGCAGCCACCCCAGGCTGCTGGCAAGCAGGCTGAACTGCTGACCTCTGGGAGAGAGAGAGAGGCTTGGCTTCTGGTGAAGTCTGGAGAGAGAAGCAGGGTCTAATCACCCTGTTTCTCTCTCCAGGCCTCAACAGCAGCTGCAGCTACTGCTGATCAGCGCTGCCTCTCTCTCTCTCTCCAAGAGGTCAGCAGTTTATCCTGCTCACCTGCTGTGCACACAGCCTGGTGTTCAGTCAAGACTTTGGTCATTTTGGATGTTATGACCCTGGCTGTGAATATAGATGATAGATAGATAGATAGATAGATAGATAGATAGATAGATAGATAGATATAGATTATATATATATATATATATATATATATATATATATATATATGGAGAGAGAGAGAGAGAGAGAGAGAGAGAGAGAGAGAGAGAGAGAGAGAGAGAGAAGTGTAACTACCAGTATATGCTAAAATAGTTTGATATAAAACAAAATGGAATGGAGATAATGTAAATTCTATAATGAGGAATTATGTACAACCAAATTAACATAGAGAAAGTGATCTGGAAAGTGTTTATTGAATGATTACACTAGAACATGAGGTTTAGTGAAAGGTAGAATATTCTAGGTAGAGGAAGCATCATGAGTAAAGGCAGAGGTTATTGAAAAGGCATCTAATGTTCAATTATCTGTGAGTTGTTCAGTACAGGTAGAGGGGAGAAATAATGATGAGACTTTAGATATGATGAGTTTGAAGGAACTGGATCATTGAGGGGGAAAATAAAAAGCAGTTGAAGCTGAGGATATGTCTTGGCTGAATATAGAGACTTAACAGTCATAATCACATGTGGTAACTAAAGCAATGGGAGAGGATGGATACCCAGGAAGCATATTTAGATAAAGTTTAGAGTGAGCAGGCCAGCAGGGGGGAAGTTGGTGGCAAGCAGGCCAGTGGGGAAGGGAGATGGGAGCAAGCAGACCAGCAGGAGTGGCAATTGGGGGTGAATACACTGGCACAAGAGGGGTATTTGGGGATGAGAAGGCCAGCAGGAGGAGTGGTTAGGGGCAATCAGGAAGGCAGGTAGGTAGGTGAGTGGTTAGGAGCCAGCAGTCCTGGATTGCGAGAGAGATGTCCAACTGCCAGTTTAGAATCCTCATTGTGGCTGGTACAATGGACCCTCACCCCATGGGGTAAGAAGTAAACTTCCATAATCCAGCATTTAAAGTAAAACATTAGTGACAATTTGGTAGCAAGGACAGGATCTTCCCAAAGTTAACAAGAGAGTATTTGTTATAAGGATACAGTGATAATAAAGAACAAATGACTGAAAATTTAGCCACCTATCAGGTACTAGGGATTCTGCAGTGTCCCATCTTTCCAAATGTTGGCTTCATTATTTTTCTTTAATTTTTTGTTTCAACATACACACGGACTACATATAATACCCCAGTTTTGGATCACTTTCCACTTCAAGTATCTAATAAAATGAATTCAGTCTCAAGTTTAAACTTAAAGCAACAGATCAAGATGGCAACTGGCAGGAAGGTAGGGAGGAAGAGAGCATAATAGAGTGAGGAACCCATAGAGGAGAGTGTAGACGTGTATGGTGTGTGTGTATATATGAGCTAGGAACAGTTAGATTCTGCAGACCCTTCAAGGAGCTGCCAAACAAGGCAGAGCCCCATGCACAAAGCAAACTTCTGGGCTGTCAGTGTGGGCATAGAGACCATGCCATCTTGAGACTAGGATCCTGGCCTCAGACACAAACCAGGACTCTGTAGCCACTTGGACAGAGAACTGCGACCACAGCTTCAGACCAACAGACAAGAATCCAGACATCCTAGCAGCAGATTTCTGTGAGTCAAAGAGCCTATCCCCCTCCCTGCAAGCTCACTGGCAGCACCATAGTAAGTAATAGACCTGACCCTCACTAGAGCCTCAGCTCCCCTACTGGGATTTCCAGCTTGAGAGCACATGCAGGACACAGATCATCTACACTAATAAAAGAGAAACATGCAAATTGACAATCCCTCTGCTACTCCCACCAGCCAAGCAGGAGTGAGTATGCAAATCAACCCAACAAAGATGGTGGCAGCCATGGAGCTGCAGTGAGCAGGAGGCTTGGGTTGCCCCCACTGATGGAAGAAGCCAAGCTTTCTACCTTCCCTGGCCAGCTCTGGCCTCCCCACTCAATGCTATAAAGTTTTAATTATAGAAGATAAATAAATGTCAGGTACCTGTTTCCAGCTGACCCTGGCCTCTGCTCAAGGAGGCACTGGAGAAAGAAAAAGAAAAAGAAAAAAGATGGGGCTGGGATCCTGGATCACTGCGGGGCATTGCTAGCCTGAAAACTGCCCTCAGCTCCTCACTCAGACTGGCCACACTCCCATGGAGTGAGGGTCCCTGCTGGGGGGCATGGCCAGCCTGCAAACAGCCATTAGCACCTCACCAAGGTTGGCCAGGCAACCCAGCAGGGTCCCACACCTTGAAGGGAGTGTGACAAGCCAGAAAACAGCCCTCAGCCTCTCACCCAGGCTGGCTACACACTCCCAGTGGGGACCCTCACCCCATGGGGGAATTACCAGCCTGAAAACCACTACAGGCCCCTCACCCAGGCTGTCCCACATCCCAGTGGAACCCCCAACTTGATCTGGGACACTCTTCAGGGCAAACTAGCTAGCCCCCACCCATGAACCAGGCCTAAATCTATATTAATTAAAGGGTACTATGCTAATTAGAATGGGAGACCTTCCAGGAGACCTTCTGGACATTCTTCTTGAGAAAGCCATGGTTTCAGGGTTGAGGTAGAGTTGGTTAGAGGCCAAGAGAGAAGGGCATTTGTGGGTGATCAGGCTGGTAGGGGGCAAGGCTGTTGGGGATAAGCAAACCAGCAAGGGGTCAGTTGGGGTGAGCAGGCCATTGGCAGGGATCAGTTGGAGGTAATCAGGACAACTAGGGAAGGGGAAGGGCAGTTTAGAGTGAGCAGGCCAGCAGGGGGGCAGTTGGTGGCAAGCAGGCCAGTGGGGAAGGGAGATGGGAGCAAGCAGACCAGCAGGAGTGGCAATTGGGGGTGAATACACTGGCACAAGAGGGGTATTTGGGGATGAGAAGGCCAGCAGGAGGGGTGGTTAGGGGCAATCAGGCAGGCAGGTAGGTAGGTGAGTGGTTAGGAGCCAGCAGTCCTGGATTGCGAGAGAGATGTCCAACTGCCAGTTTAGAATCCTCATGGTGGCTGGTACAATGGATCTGTCTCTCGCCCAGTGGGGTGTGCTGGGCCCTCCCTGGAGAAGAAACCTGGTTTCCCCAAGATATGTGGTCAGTACCGGGCCCTCATCAGCAGGTGAGCAGATCCCAAGATAGGTGCTGGGTTTGGAGGCCACGGGGGTATAGGCTACCAAGGTGACATAACCGAACCTCACATCACTCTGCTTCACCCCGGAGAATGGCTGGTTAGCCAGAGACGGGTAAGATTCCTCAGGGAAGGAACAACCTAAGACAGGCACAGTCTCAGAGGGGCCATCAGGAGAGAACTTGGGGGTCAACAGAGGTGGGACACAGAGACTTAACCCCCAAATTTGCAGGGGCCTGAACCTTCACCCCTTCTGCGGGAGGTCTCCTGCCCCCATGGCTGCTTCACTTCCCATGCAAGCTCAAATCTGGTCCCAGATAACAGAGAGTTGGCTGACAGCAGTTGCTCTCTCACTACAACAAGACTTGTTTGAGTTACTTTGTACACATGGTGTGGGGAAGTAGGTTTTTTATATCTAAATCAAGCCTAGTACCAGGAATGCTCAGAGCCTATTCAAGAAATCAAATAATCTTTTCCACTAATATATACAGGGTAAAATAAGATTGTTGTTAGAGTGTTGAGTTTGACAGTAGAATAGTAAAGTTTTCAGAATAATTTAAAGTGGCTAAATGAAATAAGCAAATATTCTAGAAAAGTTGATTGTACTGTAGAAAAAGCTGTTCCTAAAGTGTTAACTAAAATTTTTATTGGTAGTTCATCTCATGGTAAAATTGCATAACATGTAATGAACCTAAAGCAGTCACATTTTAGCACACAAAAAAATATAAATTTAAAAGTTATCATCACCACCAAACCAGTATTATATGAAATACTGAAAGGTATTATTTAAGAAGAGTAAGAAGAAGAAAAAAAGATAAAAATTATGATCAACAAATGCATATATGTCAACATGCGAACCTAAAATTCAAGTTAATTAAAAATCTGAGGAACAGAATAAACTGGTGAATATAATAGAATCAGGGGCAAAGAAAGGGAGTAAATTGATAATTATTAGGAGGAAAGGGATGTGGGGGTGCAGGAAGAGATTTGGATTAAAATTTTACACCTGTGGATGAGGACAATGGCTGGGGGGGAGGGGGAAGGTAAGGGCAGAGGGTGGGATGGGAACCAGGTGGGAGGGAGCTATGGGGGGGAAAAGGGAGAAACGGTTGTAATTAAAAAAATAAAATAAAAAATAAAAGCTATCAAGACTACATTATAAAATTTCCAAAAGCCTTCTAATATTTACATAAAAAGGGAGGATACAGACTGTTGGACCTCAGAGGGAGAGTGGGGATAAAAGGGAGAGATCAACCAAAATTACTTATGTGCATATATATGAGCCTAACCAGTGGTCAAGGACAATAGAGTGGTGGGGGCATGAGTGGGTAGGGGTGGGAGATTGGAATGGGGGGTTGAGGACAAATATGTGATACTTTAATCAATAAAGAAATAAAACCAAACCCTTCTGAAAAAAGGGGGGTATAGTAGAAGAATATCATGTAAAGAAAAATATCCTGTAAGTAAATTACATATGGGAAAATTTTACTTTAGAAAATTAACTTTTATTTGTAATGCTAATTGAAAGACACCCATGAAAAACACACATGGTATCAAAAAAAAAAAAAAATGGGCAAAATCATTTGGGCAAAAAATGAAAAAGGATCCCAAGTAAAATTTATAGAAAATATTCCTTTATTAATTTTTGGTTGAGAATGTTTGTTTATTTTCAGAAAACAACTCCAAGACCATGTGGATTTCTGAAACAGAGAGGAATTTATAGGACTGCTCCAGCCATGAAAACAGAAAAGAAACAGTCCAGAGATGGAAGACACTGACGATGCCTTGTCATACTAGTAGACACCAGAGATGGTCGGACCTGCATCACCACCATTTGTCCACCATCCAGAACTGAAATATCATTGCTGATATATACACAAAAGAACTGTTTGACATTGAAACTGGGACTCAAAAGAACTGTTGGCTGAGAAAGAAACTCACTACAGACTGATTCATTTGCCTCTCAGCATAACCATTATGGCTTGTCTCATTTTCGGTTCTTATAAGTATATTTCTTGTATCACATGATCATGCATTTAGGGGAAATAATGAACATTAAACTGATGAACAAAAACATACCCAGGGACAGGGAAGCATTAATAAGACTGTCAAATCTCAGAGGAAAGGGAGGGGAGAGTGGGGGAATGGGGGAGAGATCAACGAAATGTCTTGTATGCATGCAAATAAGTACAACAGGGGGGTGGGGGCATAGGTGGGGAGGAATTTGGGATGGGAATGGGGGATGAGGACAATTATGTGATACCTTAATCAATCAATAAATAAAAATAAATAAATAAATAAATGTGAATAGTGTTTCAAAACAAGAAAGTATTGAGTAGAGTAAAATGCTGCCATGAGCTAAAGTATGTTAAAAAGAAAAAGATGGCAGCTGGCAGGATGGAGCTGAGGGAAAGGAAGTGAGTTAGTGAGTGTATGAAATGATGTGTGTGGTGTGTGTGTGTAAGTGAAGGAAAGTTAAATCTCACAGGAGCAGCCTATTTATTTTAAATATATTTCTTTATTGATTTCAGAGAGGAAGGGAGAAGAAGAGAGAGATAGAAACATCAATGATCAGAGAGAATCATTGACCAGCTGCCTGCTGCATGCCCCCACTGGAGATCAAGCTAACAACCCAGGTATGTGCCCTTGGCTGGAATCGAACTCGGGTCCTCTCATCTACAGGCTGACGCTCTATCCATGGAGACAAGCCGGGCAGGGATTCACTTTTATTTTTAATCTAGAGGCCTGGTGCATGAAATTTGTGCAAAGGGGGGGGGGTGTCCCTCAGCCAGACCTGCACCCTCTTCAATCTGGGACACCTCGAAGGATGTCCTACTGCCAGTTTATAGTGATTGGTCCTAAAAATGAAAGAAGTCAATTAAGGATCACTAATAATGACCTTTGTAATCAAACTTTCAGTGGTTTGAGAGAAACAGACTTCTTATTGCAAGCAAAAACCTGATTGCACTAGAATGAATAATAAGTGGGAGTTCTCTGGGAATCTTATGAAGGCTATAGACCTTCTTTCCAGAACGGTATATGCAAACAGACTTAAAATAATTTTCTCCATTTCAAGGGTTTCATGTACTTCTGAAACCTATTTATCTTTTCTGGTTTAAGAAAGCTTAGTGCAGGCCCTGACTGGCTCCACAAGTTGGAGTGTCATCCCAAACATCAAAATATTGGGTGGAGTTGAAACCGGTTTGGCTCAGCGGTAGAACATCAGTCTGCAGACTGAAAGGTCCCAGGTTTGATTCCAGTCAAGGGCATGTACCTTGGTTGTGGGCACATCCCCGGTAGGGGGTGTGCAAGAGGCAGCTGGTCAATGTTTCTCTTTCATCGACGTTTCTAGCTCTTTATCTCTTTCCCTTACTCTCTGTAAGAAAATCAATAAAATATATATTTTTTAAATTGGGTGGCAACTGATAGATGCTTCTGTCTCATATTGATATCTCTCTCTAAAACAAAAGTCAATAAAAACATATCCTTTGGTAATGATTAAAAAAATAAAGTTTAGTGCAGGATATTCTTATCCTCCAGTTTATAAAGAGGAGGTGAGACAGAAGTAATTAGAGCAGACAAAGTGGGAAAGATTTGAGGTTTTAATGTTCTTTATTTTGTTTTATTTATTTTCTTTTAAAATGTATTTTTATATTTCAATTATAGTTGACAGACAATATTATGTAGAGGATGGGGCAACAGTAGGTTTACAGTTGTTCATATAAAAATAATACAGTATTTAATAACCAATAGTACAAGAATAAACTGTATTTTGCATATTCACAACTGTAAAACTACTTTCCCCCCACCTTATATTAGTTTCAGGTATACAACATAGTTATTAGAGATTTACATCACATATTAAGTGATCACCTTTA